TGCGCCATAATGTCCTCCATATGGTGATGAATGGCATCATTCAATGATCTTGATGCCTTCTTCCATCGGTACACACCTTCTGAGCAGGCCATTAGAGCAGACTCTAAAGAGGTATGGTTCATCCTATATGTGTAGACAACTTTCATAGATGAGCTTCCTTTTGTTCTCTCTTGGTGGTACACAACCTACAGCCATAAAGTTGACAATATTTGCGTACTAGGGGTTGGATTTTGTGACATTGAAGAGCATGTCATCCCGTAGTGAATCATTGATGGGCAGCTCCTATAATTTTTCAAACTACATTCTGGACAAGTGATAGGCAATAGAATTTTCTACTTCCTTTTTATCTTTTATTTCTAAGTCAAATTCTTGGAGTAACAAAATCCCTCTTATAAGTCGAGGTTTAGCATCTTTCTTAGTGAGCAGCTATTTCAAAGCAGCATGATCAGTGTAAACAATCACCATAGCTCCTACTAAGTAAGATCTAAACTTATCAATAGCAAAAACAACAGTCACGAGTTCTTTTTCAGTTGTTGCATAATTAAGTTGAGGTTCGGTCAGAGTTTTGCTAGCATAAGCAATTGCATGATGCTTTTTATCTTTCGTTTGATCTAATACTACCCCCACAGCATAATCACTAACATCACACAAAATTTCAAAAGGTAGCGACCAATTAGGGGGTTGAATGATTGGTGCAGAGATGAGTGTTTTCTTAAGAATGTTAAAAGATTTTAAGCATGCATCATCAAATTCAAAGGGAACATCCTTAGCCAAAAGATTTATCAATGGTCTAGCAATATGTGAAAAATCTTTTATGAAGCGGCGATAAAACCCTGCATGGCCAAGAAAACTGCGGATCCCTCTGATATTTACGGGAGGAGGTAACTGTTCGATTACTTCAATTTTAGCTCTATCTATCTCAATCCCTCTTTTGGACACCAAGTGTCCAAGCACCAAGCCTTCTCTAAACATGAAACGACATTTTTTTGAATTAAGGACTAAGTGTTTTTCTTCACATCTTTGCAAAACCTTATCTAAATTTTCAAGACAATCATCAAAAGTTTTTCCATAAATAGAAAAATCATCAATGAAAACTTCCATGATTTCTTCAATCATATAAGAAAATATAGACATCATGCATCTTTGAAAAGAAGCTAGAGCATTACATAATCCAAAAGACATTCTACGATAAACATAAGTTCCATATGGACATGTAAAAGTGGTTTTGCTCTGGTCATCTGGATGGATCGGTATCTGGTCATAATCTGGATACCCATCAAGGAAGGGCAACGGAAAGTGATCTTTCTTTATTGCATTGTTAAGTTTTCAGAAATCTATACACATCCGTCACCCAGTGACGATTCTTTGGGGGATTAATTCATTTTTTTCATTTTTAACAACAGTCATGTCTCCCTTTTTAGACACAACTTGCACAGGGCTTACCTACTCACTATGCAGCACATGATAGATTATCCCAGCGTGCAGGAGTTTCAAAACCTCTTTCTTAACAACCTCTCTCATCGCATTATTAAGCTTACACTGTGACACCCTAGAAGGTATAGAATCAGGATCTATAGGGATGCAATGAGTGCAAAGAGCATGGCTAATTCCCTTAAAGTCTTGGAGCGAGTAGCCAAAAGCAGAACGATGCTTTTCTAAGACTGTTATCAAGCTTAGGGATTCTTTCTAAGAAAGTTTATCACTTATGATCATAGGAAAATCCTGATTATTATTAAGAAAAGCATATCTAAGACCAGAAGGTGGGGGTTTAAGCTCAATGGTGGGCTTAGGTGGTTCTAGCAATTCATCTAAAGGATCAGACTCCATAGGATTTTCCTCTTCCCCTCGATGAAGAACTGGGCATCGTCTTCAAAGTTGGTTTCGATCAAATCATCAAGAGATGCAACCTTAACCTCTTCCATTGGGTCTTCCTCGGGAATTGGCTCAGTCTCAGCATTTAGAGAATGAGTGATGGGTATAGAAAGCTTAATGTTTTTTCCAAGTCTTATTTTCAACTTCACCTTTTGTCCTTCTTGAATAAGTCTTTTAATTGGTTGTCCTATCAACAGGTCGAACTCCATAATATCAAAGATATAGAAGCTCAAATGAACTTTGGTTCCTTTTACCTAGATAGGAAGGACATACAAGATCTCCAAACTTGGGAGAATATGTCCTGAAAGACCTTTCAATAACTTTATTATTGGGGTTAATGGCATGTGTTTCAATAAATCATGAGCAAAAGATGCAGATATGATATTAACACCCACAATAGGATTATAAAGAGTATCGAAATGAGCTTTGTTAATTTGGCGACGAATAGAAATAGAAGGTGAATCTAATCGAATCACTCTATCTCTCTATCTCTAATACAAGACTAGATCCTATTGAAGACTAATCTTCTCTTGATTGCTAGCTCTGATCCTGGTGGAAATGTGGATTAGGGTTTCTGGTCCTCAGGCTCTCAGGATCATACTTGGCATACCCTAGGGGTGCAGGTAGGTATATATAGGCCGGAGCATCAATCCCGAGCCTTCGGATTAAACCGACTTGAATAAACGACGGAGATGCAATTCTTAAGGCGGTGGAGAACCGACGTAACAACGAGGGGCTGCCAGGTGGGTCCCACAGATCGGCCGGCCTGCATGTGGGACCGGCTAGACCCACCTGGCAGAGGCTCGGGCTTCGCTTCGGTGGAGAGTCTCCTAGAGTCTTCTAGAGTCTTTCCACACTGTTTACGCGGCGGAATTCCATGATTTCCTTTCATGAATAGGTCCTCCTTAGCGTTTTTTATTAAATTCTGCTTACAACACAGATTCACCAAAACTTATGGAATTTGTTAGTTTAAACCCCTAAGTCTATGTTGGCGATCCATTTTAGTCATTTATGCAAGGTAGATTGATGGTTTGTGATTGACATTAACTACCGTCAACAACCATATGATAGAGCTTCATAATAACAAGGCCATATCACTTTAGTATATATCTCAAAATGGAGATCTTCACCTATGGTCTTTGCGTGTCAAATCTACTATGAGGATATGTTTCTAGGACACTATAGAGCATATCTAGTTAGTCAAAAGAACCTACATTACATCCCCTCATCATCTAGGTCATTGGAGGTCATATCTAGGTGATAAGCAATGTGATTCGTGAAACAATGGTTTGAGCTCGAATCAAGCTCGCCAAGCGTCGCTAGAGGTTGTTGTTGAGCTCCCCAATGTAGTTGAGAAGCTGGATCAAACCCTTAGCTCCTCGTGCTCCTTCTTGAAAGTTCCTCCTCCTAGCTCCAAATGGTTAGGGAGAGAGGGCTCCTCTCTCTTCTATCTCCAACCTCTTGTGGTCAATAACTTCTACCCGAGCTCTATGCTTCCTTGTGTTGGTGGTAGCCTCCAATCCCTTCTCCTTCCTCTTCCCTTGCCTTGTCCTTTCTCTAGGTGTGTGAGAGTGTAGAGAGAGTGAGGGAGATGAACAAGAGAGAGAGTGGGAGTGGGAGTGTGAGAGTGAGAGTGAGTGAATGGGCATTCTGGTGCCTGGTGTGCTCCTCTCACGAAGTGGAGACGTGTGGCCTGACTTGTGGGGATAGGAAAGCTCCACAAGTGACACCTCAATTCCGTGCATGAAGTGTTCTGGTGGATACTCCGCGTGAGCACCAGGCGATCCATCAGAGCTCGACAGTCTAGAATAACTGTAAGTCTGCGTAAATGTTCCAACAGAACGTTTCGCTGGTGCGGCGGATGATCTGCTGAGACATGGAGTACCCAAAAATGTGCAGATTCTTCATCACTTAGTTTCCAATTTTGAATTTCAAATGCAAATGATGCTCACAATAATGATGATTATGAACAAGTCATGATCGGGTCATGACAGACCCTACTTATTTTTCTCTTATGTCAAGCTTCGTAGAAAGTATTGTAGCCCACATATCCCATTTATAGTAATTATTAAGGGATACAAAAACACAATCATATACTCCCTCCATTCCAAATAATGATGTTTTAGATTTGTTCTAAGTCAAATTATTTCAAGTTTGACCAAATTTATGCAAAAAGTATTAATATTTATGATACCAAATAAGTATTACTATCAAACGTACCTATACGTTGCACCGAAACCCAATATGTATTGGAATCAGATTTCATATTATCGCTAGATGCAAGTTATTCTAACTCGTATGAGCGCTGGTCATGAGCCCGGGTTACATACGAGATATGTAGGGCGCGGACCAATACGTATTAGAATCGGACTCTGTATTCATCATCGCTAGACGAGAGTTGTCATAACTCATATAAGTATGATTCATGAGTACGGGTCATACGAGACAGAGGGCTTGAGTGCAGTTTGGGAAGTGAAAAAAGCGGGACGGAAGAAACTGTCCACTGTCGAGGTACTAGACGGAGGTGGATGAAAAAAATAGGTGGAGAGAAATTTTGTCTCTTTAATATTAGAGATAGATAGATATAGATAAATTATTTTTACCATGAAATATATTTTTGTATTCTATCTATTGGGTGTCATAAATATTGACATTTTTTTATAAGTTTGATCAAATTTGAAATAGTTTGGCTTAGGTAACTAAAAAATCACTTATTTTAGACCGAGGAGGTAGAAAGTTAAATGATCCATTTGTAACTTAAGAATTTAATAAAAAAATATACGGAAATTTTACAGGAAAATATGCAGAGATATAAAAAAGAAAAATCCTCGCTCGAAACAAAAAGCCCCGAACATACGAAGGAGCGTGCCTGGTGCTGGGACCCCAGCTGTCATGCGCCTGGCTAGTGAGTAGTAACCGTAGGCAGGCAGTAGCATTAAAATCTTCCAAAAATGAAACATAATAAAGAAAATATAAACAGCCCCCTCCCGTTCCACCCGCACCACTTCACTCTTCTCCCCCTAGACACACCTCTCCTTCTCGTAGACGGCAGATCTCGGGTCGCCGTCTCCGGCCACGGCGGCCGGCACTCGGAGTAGCGGTGGAGTTCGGGGCGGAGGTCGGCGGCCATGTACAAGAACCAGCTGCAGGAGCTGGCGCAGCGGAGCTGCTTCAACCTGCCGGCTTACACGTGCCTGCGGGAGGGGCCCGACCATGCGCCGCGGTTCAAGGCGGCGGTGAACTTCAACGGGGAGCAGTTCGAGAGTCCCGGATTCTTCACCACGCTCCGCCAGGCGGAGCACGCCGCCGCGGAGGTTGCGCTCGCCGCGCTCGCGCGACGCGGCCCGTCCTACTCGCTCGCTGCCCGCATCCTGGTAAGCCGCCCGCGCGGGCGCCCCCCCTTGCCCCTATCCTCCTCCACGTGCCCCTCGCTTCCCTACGAATCGTTTCTCCTGTCGTGGTATTTTTCTTTTTGGTTGTGTTTCTCGCGGTTCTTGTTTCAAACGCTTCTCGGTGGTGGAATTTGGGGATCTGCGGGTGTTTCTAATCCGAGTATAGTTGATCGTAAGTAGATCGCTCGAGCCATTTGCTACTGCAATTCGTCACGGAATTCTCGTGGGCTATTGACTATCCAGGGCGAGTCGTTTGCGTTTGGCTCGGGTTAAAAATGGCGTCTCGTTTGACTGTTTAGTTCATAATAACTCCTGTTCCAGCGCCGCGGCATGTTTTTTTTTTTGTAATTTCAGCACAATGTTGGCGATTTTAGATAGATTTAGTAATACATTACCCGTTGCCTTTGAATCGTTCTCGTAGTTTGATCTGGTTTCTAGGTTAAAAAAAAACGAGCTATGAAGTCATAGCTTCGAGAACCTGCTTGGATTATGGCTCGTGAGCGGCATGAATTGCAGCGGATAATTGGTACGGAAAGCTGCAACTCTTTTGGTGCCAAAAATTCTCTCGGTGCCTTTTTTTTGTTTTTATAAAAGGGGATTCCTTTGATTCCCAGAGAAAAAGTCGCAATACTCGAGTCCGGTTAATTTTTCTTCCCCAGACATCGGGTTAAAAAATACTCTTCCTCATCTTTTATTTTATTTTGACCAAAATACAATCATGTCGTACTCTTGCCACTGTAATTTCATTTTGTATTATAAAAGTGGGCGCGGATTAGTTAATGAACAGAGCTTAGTTCCCCACTCTACGCGATGGGTGTACTAAGCGCAATCAAGCCTCTTAACTTGTTCGTACCCTGCGCCGGCCATTAACACGCCACTATACTACTTTAATCCCTCGTTAGATGTGCTCTCGCGCCGTAACGGCGACGGTGCTTCTGATAACACAGGCCGCATTAACTGCCGATTAGGAAATTCTTACAGCTTCGGAATTACCGCTAGGGTTCCGTCCGTCCTCGCACCGTTATTGGTGCTAGACTTGGAAAGTCTGCGTGCCATTAATTGCTAAACCCCGATTAGCCAAACCTGTCTATTAATGGGCGCATTGATGGGGTGTGGAATTAAAAAGTTGCCGCGTACACTTGACTTGGAAGCCCAGTTGCAATGAAGAGGTCATACACACGGGGTTTTGAACGGAACGGGATTAACCAGCGCGTGGAAACTGTCAGTGTGAAACGGTGGGCAAGTGGGATTTGGTTTCGGTCTTTATAGTGGTGCTATGGTATTAATGCGAGTGGGTGGGGGGAATTGAATTGGAGACCGCCCGCACCTAACCGGGGCATCGCAGGTCAATGCCGGTGGGCCCCGGTGGTTTAGTGGCAGGCAGGCCCCTCACAGCCCACCATGCTGGCGTTGTTGCGCCTATGCGTGGGTATCTTTTCTCGATACGGTCCGGTCAGATCAGGTCAGCCATGGGCTGCTGCCAGTGCTGGGATCCGGCTTGCTACCGCAAGTGCGCCTCCCTAGTGCTTTGTTTGCTGTCTGGGCTTTGGCTGGCTTCGAATTGATCCGTGGATGGATGGGACAATGTGGGGGTGTGGCTGCTGGTGCTAGTGCGGGAACATCGCTTTGCTCCCCGGCTTTTAGGCAGGGTTCTTGGTGCAGGACTGCAGGCCGAGTGCGATGGCCGCCTTGTTGAATGGTGGATGTTCTTGTCGGTCTGGCGTTCTGCACAGGGGTTTTGTTCTGTGGAATTTGGGAGTTTGGATTGTGACCACATGATAAAAAAGCAGCTACTTTTTGGCCAGAATTTTTAAAAAGGCTGATCTGGAATTGGATGGCACAGGGGTCTGCTTCTGATTTTTTTATTGTTTCTGTTCTTACTTTGATGTATCGATCAAAATGAGGTGGCTTGGAGTGACATGGTCCTGCGGTATCATGCAAGTTCAGATTGGTCTCCATGTAGATAGGTTACTATCGCTGGTCAATGTGTATTTGAATGGTTTGGTTGCTGGAATAAATTTGAACATCGGGTCAGCAAAATGTTAGGCATGGTCAGTGATCCTCATAGTTGACTATCAGTTTTTTTTTTTTGGAGGGGGGGAGGGGGGGGGTGTAAAATATTGGAGTCTGGACTATCACAGGAGTGATTCACCTGTTTGGAGGATTGCTGTTTCACTGGGACGTGATCATTGAAACATATTTAATTCTTCTAGATCAAAATCAAAGAAAATGAGAAAACTCTGTAGGTGACTATGGTTTGGTATGTGGTGGTAAATAATAACTAGCTGCAAGGCATGGAGCTCATACTCCTGCAGCTTGGAAATGTATCCTGTCACGGACATTATAACATCCATGTCTTATGAAAAAAAATCTGAAGGTCCGTAGATCTTACCTTGTAGTGTGCAGGTAGCTTCTCACTACTTGATCTCAGTGATTTTTCATGGTTAGCTACCTTCTCTCGTTCAGCTGCTGCTGGCATTATTGTCTAAAACCTTTTGTGTCAATATATTCAGAACTGATCTGCAAGAAATGCTAATTTCTTTTTATTGGCTAGCTTATATCCACTATTTGCCTGTTTAATTTTGGAACTGACTCATGGGTTCTGCGGTTTGGATTATTACTTCAGTGAATCATGGTTTTGCGATTTGGATTTATACTTTAGTAGATGTCCCTTTGTATTCATTGCCTCTTATAGTCAGTTAGTGGACAGCTCAACTACCACTTCAACTTATTTGAGCATCATTTGAATCATAATCCTTGCAGTTGAAGTATTATCTGATTAGCATTGTCTTGATCCAGAAGTCATCTTCCTTAGCATTCTGGAAGCCCTTACTTTTTGTTCGGATTCAATTACTTTTGTTTCAATGACCAGGAATAAAAGCTTTTTAACTGACTAAAATGTATAACGTGTGTTTGCCCTGGCAAAAAATTCTCTACAATCTGTCAGTTGGGCTTTAATATTTTTATGTGATTGATTATTCTTTAACCTTAATAGAATGTTGCATCCTCAACTTCTATTCTTTGATTTACAGTAATTTCAGTCACTTGCTTATGGTGATGATTTCTGTTACACAGGACGAAACAGGGGTTTATAAGAACCTTCTGCAGGAAGTAGCTCAAAGAGTTGGGGCACCATTGCCATTGTATACAACAGAGCGATCTGGCCTTGGCCACCTACCGGTTTTCACATGCACAGTAGAGCTAGCTGGTATTACATTTACAGGTGATCCTGCTAAGAATAAGAAACAGGCTGAAAAAAATGCTGCTTCAGCTGCATGGTCAGCACTGAAACAATGTGAGTATCACTTATTGCGTTCTGTGCATTGCAAATTGATGAATGAAATTGTAGCTATGTTGCTTATTCATGTTTGTCTGCAATAACTATAATTGACAAAAAGAGAAGTATGGCTACTTGGTTAAAATTGATATCACCATGGCTTGAAAAGATATTTTTTAGGTTAGGATATGGATATTGACTCAATCTTGACTTAGTAATTTATCATGAGAAATTTGAGCTAATTTTCAACTAATTATATTTTTATCAAGTCAAGTCATCCAACATTTGTACTTTTGTGTTTTATACCATTATATGTAAGTCAGGTGATATCTTATCTCTAGCATTGCTACTTCTCATTCATTTGGACTGTACGTTCTGAATTCATTTGGAACCCCTTCATCAAGCTAAACATGAATTAGTTTTTCTTCCTTCAATACTTAAAAAGTCATGCTAGTGTGAAAAGCTAAGCAAGTAGGTTACCTGGTTTCACTTGCTATGTTAGTGGAATTGGACCAAGTTTATCTTGTGCATTATGCCTGTTTCTGTTTGGTCTCGTTAAAAGAAGTGAAATATCTTGGGATGACATTCTTTATTTATACATTGACACCTCACACTGTTTCATCTCTCTGCAACAGTGGTACGCGAGGAAGTGAATTCATCCAATGAGCCAGAAAACAATGATGAGCAGGAGCAGATCAGGATTGCCCGAGCCCTCCTCAATTATCGCTTGAAGGAGAAGATGGCGATGGCCAATTATCCTCATGTTTCACCATTCCCTAAAAAATTTCCCATGCAGCCAGAGAGGAAGCCTTCTTTTGGTCAATCTTCTCAGTCCAGCTACTCGAAGATTCTCCCTCTATTCCGCCCTAAATCTAATTCAAGATCCAGACCAGAGTCCCCAGCATCTACTGATGGTGTATCACAAATTCCTGGTTGGGCCATGGATAGCCTCACTCCAAGTCCAAGGTCAAGATTTCCAGCTGCAGAGGCAGCCCCCTATGTGCCAGTTGGGCACTACCGTATGCCTTGCCACAGCATGGCTCCTTCAGTCACAATTAGGACTGCTGTTCCTGTGTTCTCTGCTCCACCTCTCCCACCTCCGTCTGCACGCCCACAGCAGCTTCCTCCACTCATGAGCCACCCACCACCAATTCGGATGGCATCTCCAGTTCGCATGAGGCCAGCCTCTCCAGTGTTTGCCTCCTCAGCTGCAGTTCAAGGGCCGAAACCTGTGATGCCTGTTCAGTTAAAGAATGTGCAAGATCAATCAAGGAAGGAAACAGCTCCATCTGTGATCCCTGTTCAGGTAAAGGATGTGCAATACCACCCAAGGAAGAGCTCAATGTCTCCTGTGATTCCTGTCTCGGTAAAGGATGCACAACGCCAGCCTCTTGTGGGATCACTATCAACTGCAATCCCGGTTCAGATGAAGGATATGCAAACCCAAGCCCCAAAGGAATCACTATCAAGTGCAATCCCAGTTCAGATGAAGGACGTGCAAACCCAAGCCCCAAAGGAATCACTGGCAGCTCCAATTCCAGCAATCAGGCCTTCCGTTAAGATTGATTTGCCTGCTCAAGGCAAGGAAGCTTCAGCTGGTGCTACCAGCGAAGTGCCACCTTCTGCTACTGGCAATAATGCTGCTGTGGAACGCAGTACATCATCAGACATTCTCTTGGCAAGGCAATCAAGGGCTGCGGATGGGGACGATGATAAGGCGGAAGCTAAGCACGAGGCCGAGGCTCAAGCAGTGGCAGAGGCAGCCATCAGGCAGCTGGAGATCAATTGACTGACTAAAGAAAATGCGCTCTGCCATCTTCTCCCAGATTTTGTAATTAGCTGCCTCCCGTGCACATTCCCTTCTGTTTAGTTCTTGTATGTCTTGGGTTCGGATTAGGGCTATCTGGGCAAGCTGCATTGTGGTAGGAACACCTAGTTTTTCTGTTGAGAAAAAAAACGAGAGCTAAAAAAACATGAAGTGGTGGTAGGCGGTTTGCCCAGTGTTTAGTTGGAGACGGTTATACTTCCCTGTTACATGAAGTTGGTCTGCTTTTACCCCAATGATGAGGTGGTGCCTCTAGGGAAGGATTCTGAGGCGGCAGTTACATCTAAATTCCTTGTTATTGTCGATCCGCCGCAATCTTATTCAGCTTCTTTTTTCCAGTAGTACCATGCAAATGATGATGCATTGGTGGTTGGTGTATGATGAAAAGTTGAGAGGGGTGAATGGGTTTTCTGCCGCTTTTCGTCCTGGCTACTATGATGAAAGAGAAATCGTTGTATCAAAGCGGTAGATTTTCTGATCCTTGCGGGTAATCTGAACCACTTTCATTTGGATTTTGGAGGTACCGTCTGAATGATGCAGGCGTGCTGCACTGCACAAGAGGCCATGCAGGGAGTTGGCCGTGACGTTGGTCGGTCCAGCCCTTATGTGGCAACCGAACTTGGGAGTTGGGAGTTGGGACCACGCCTATTGCTCTCGCTCGTCTTGTGCTTTACACATCTCGTCATCGTCCGAAAGGGCTTGAGAGAGAAAAATGAGTTCGGTCACACTAGAAACTAGAAATTGGTTGTTGGGTCGTGACCACATACCAGACACTAGGCTTCTGCAAAAGAAAATACGGAGTACGTAAACCACCAAGGCTCCGGCCAAAAGCCAGCCACGGCTGACGAATTGATGATGAGACGATCTGAACCGCATCTCCTCCGCTCCTTTCTGCGAGGCAGGCGGCGGGCACCGAGCAGGGCCAGGCTGCATGCCGAGCATGTGTGCGGCCTGATCTCCACAATGATGGACAAATGCTCCCCTGTGGCGCCTGCCGCGGCGGTTCCTGCCCATTTGACCTGCCTACAGCATGCTGACCCGACCCGGCCGCCGGCGGGCCAACGCAAACGCACGGCAACAAGCCAAGCGAGGGCGCGAGGCTGTAGGAAACACCCGTTGCCGTCAAGTAGCAACTGCGTCTTGGCCGCTGGCCCGCGTCCAAACAAAGCCGCGAGTCGCTGTCCGCTTGCCGTTCTGCTGCACTGCACACTCTGGCGGTCTGGCCGAAACAGAGAAAAGATGGATAGAGAAACAGAGAAAAGATGGATCCGGGCCGGGCCGGGCCATGGGCCACGGCATGCAGTAGCAATTAGTACGACGTGCCAGTACAGCGGGCATGAATGCCACTCTGGGCGAGGCAGAGGCGTGTAGTGTAGGGGTTGCCCCTGCCGGCCGGCTGCCCTGCCTGCTTCATCAGTGGTTCGTCTGACCGGCAAGCAATTCTCGCAATGAATTTTGATGGACGGGGAGGCGGATAGGGCGAGCCATCGAGGAGGAAAAGGAAGACAGTGTCTCAGATGCGAGGAGGGAGAAGCCGGACGCCATCGTTTTCTTGCTTGCTGTGCCCAACAGAGACGACAATTATTGGAGGGGGCGGCAGGCAGAGGCAGCTAGCGCACCATAGATGCGCAGCAGCATGCCATGGACGGCCCAGCTAACAGGTGGCGCCGATTTATGGCGCACTGATGGCGTCCAAACGGGGAGTTTATTGCGGCCTCGCCATCGCGTCCGCGTCCCCGTCTCGCCTCGAGATTAGCGTGTGCTCGCCTGCTAGGCTCTAGGGTAGGACGACGTAGTCCGCTGCGGAATACGGGAGGCGCAAATACGCAATGAGTCGTGACTATGGATGAAAACGGTCAGGAAAATGCCTTAATCATCCTGTATTTTTTTTGTCGGGGACGGAAACAGGAATGGAAAAGCCGGACGAAAAAACGAAACCGATATTACCGATATTGGGAACGAAATATCTTCAAACGGGACGTGTCGGAAGCGGTCTCGCAGCGTTGCCAGCATCTTGGCGCCCGGCACTACTGTCGCCCCTCACCGCCGTCAAAGCCCCTCCAGCGCTAGCCTAGCCTACATGGCCATGCTGGTCTCCGATGAAACGATGTGGCAGCTGATCGTTTGGGCAACGTCACCCATGGATGGCCGGGACTTTGGGTTCTCTTGCAAGCAGCACATCGCTATCCTCGCCAGCCGCAGGGCATGCAGACACCATTGGCAGCAGTTAGTATCGATCCGATCAGCCGCAGGGGATGCTGGATGCAACCCGTCATAATTCATCTGCTGTGGCTGTGCGAGAATAGCTTGTCCGGCTGGCCACTTTTGGCTGGCTGGATTTTTTTTTTCCAACCGGAGCAGTGTTTTTCTCTCAAAAAATTCAGTTGCTACAGTATTTTTCAGCTGCTACAGTAACACTTTACTGCCAGCCGAACAAGCTCTTGTGAATAGGTAGAGGGTAGCAGGGTAGAAGACCTTGAGAGCTCGGCCTGGTGGGTACTGCGTGCCAATCCTTGGGTCCATGAATTGCTCAACTCTGCCTTCTCTCACGAGTGGAGCTGCCTGCATACAACATAGTACTGCAACAAACAGCAGGCTGCAACAGTAGGTGTACAAAATATGGGAATACCGTCGGGAATTTTTCTGCTCGAATACGGGAACCGTGAATACGGTCGGAAAAATTCCTTAACTGATACCGTTCCCGTTCCTGCCTAAAATACGGTGTCGGTTTCCCGTTTCCTGTTTTTCCTGCAAAAACAGTATGCGATCAGTTAATGCGGTATACGGTGTCGGTCGGTACGGAAATTTCCCGTCCCATTTTCATCCATAGTCATGACCCTGGTCGAGAGGCAAAAGACGAGTAGTTGCTTTTCAGAGTACTGCACGCTTGTGCGAAGTATCATCTATTTATATCACTTCTCGTATATTTGAAGTGTCGATTTCAAATAACACCGTTGTACCACCTGCTAATAATACAGGTAAACTGTTATTTTTGTAATTTTTAGATCCGCCACTGGCAACATGTATACTTTTCCTTTGATCGTGTAGCTATTGTGGTGCCACTCCATGCAAGCTATTGTGGTGCCACTCCATGCAAGGGATATGCATTGCTCTGTTCGTTTGGCTGATAAGCCATGACTGAAAGTACTATTGACTGATTTGTTGTGAGAGAAAAATATTGTTCGTTGGCTAAAAAAATACGGCTTATAAGCCAAGCGAACAGGGCGATGATAATCCCTCCTTGTAATCATGCATTTCATTGTAATACTCAAATCCTTTTTAGTTGTTCGACTCCATGTTCTTTCAATTTTTCCTATAACTGTGAACCTACAACCAATAGATTCAGAAACATTTTCATTAACTTCAGGAGCTAATGAAATTTTCCCATATTTGAGAGACACCGTCATGAAAAGTTGAAAACTAGGATAAGTCAGCAGAAATTTTCGAGCCTGAGAACCTTGGTCTTTAGAGTCTACTAACTTCCTGAATTCATGCTTTGCTTCCACCTCCTTTTGGCACTAGTCCAGGTAAAACGAGTGACAACCAATGTACTTCTGCTTCAACATTGAGCTTCTTTGTTTTCTAACCAATTCGGTCACTGCAGCAACCACCAGGTTCATATTCCCCCTAAACAAAAGGTGCCACTGTGCCAGTGCCAGTTCATATTATTAGGCTACTGCACAACAGCCTGCTCCTTGTTCATTTCATACTCTGCATTTCTCCATTCACTTAATTCCTCAATTGGACTGTTAGGGTTCGGCAGAGGAGTGAACTCGTCTTCAAATAGACAAATACTTACTCTGTCTCATAATAAATAGATTCATAAAGCTGTCTTAAGTCAAACCTTTTGAACTTTGACCGAATTTCTAAAAAAACATAAAGACTTATGGTATCAAATTGGTATCATTAGATTTACCATAGAATATATTTTCATAAGATGCTCATTTTATGTTATAGATGTTGTTACTCTTTTCTATAAAGTTAATCAAACTTAAAAAAAATGGTTGACACAGATTCTAGGAATTGATTTATTTAGGGACGAATGGCATAACAACAACTATGCTTTATCATATTAGTTGTCTCGGTAATCACATAGGTAGTAGGTTAAATGCAGAAAGAACTAGCATAGCATCTATGCTAATGGTTATAAGTAGTTTTAAAGCCATGGCAGGTGATAGAATCTGAATTGTTTTCCTCGGCCTACTTTGCAATCAAATGTATTTTATCTCTGTTGTAATTGATGATAGTCGACATCTGCCTGGGATGATATTAGAATATTAGATGTGCATTTCTAGAGAATAAATGCAGCAGTAGAATCATAACTACAACACGTATTATTGATGTAGCTCAAAAATGTTCTTCATCTATAGATGGTTATGTCTATGAAATGAAACCACTGACTTTCCATCTTTCAAAAAGGTTATTTCTCAAAAGAATGTTTAGTTCTGATGAGTGCCCTGATCAACTTCTAGAGGTTTCAGATGAAATCCTTAAAGAATGTGGAGGCCTTCCATTGGCCATCATAAGTAATCTACTAGTCTAGCTTGTCGGCAGATAAACTTACCATGAAGGAAGAGTGGGAGAAGGAGAAGGCGAGAAACTCAATTGGTTCAGCATTAGAAAAGCACAGAAATCTAGGACTCAATGACATACTAATAATGAGCTACAATGATCTTCCACGCAATTTGAAGACTTGCTTTCTATATCTAAGTGTATTTCTAGAAGATTACATTATAGAAAGAGATAGATTAGTGAATAGATGGCTGGCACAAGGCTTCGTTGCCCATGATCGGGCTTCGACGCTTGAAGATGTCGTTGAGAGATATTTCTATGAGCTCATCAAAAGAAGTGTGGTTCAACCAACAGGTATTGGCTATGATGGCAAGGCCAATGGCGAAACCAAGGGGCTAGGGGGCCATGCCCCCCCCCCCAAGAAAAGGGAAAATTTTTTAATCGCATCTCCT